AATAATGTATGAGATCACTTAGATGTGGAATCTGAAAAATACAACAAACGAAAAGCAGACTTATAGAGAACAAACTAGTGGTTACCAATGGGGGGCGGGGAGGCACAAACTTGGGTGTGATAGGCTCAAGGCTGTGTTACACAACATGGGGAAAACAACCAATATTTTGTAGTAACTGTAAGTGGAATGTAACCTTTAAAAACTGTATAAAAGTTTTAAAATTAATTAAAAATACTCTTTTCCTCCAAGAAAAATTAAAAATTAAGTGAAGTAAAATATTTGGGGGGGTAATTAGGTTTGATTTATCTATTTAGTTCTGGAGGAGGTACTGGGGATTGAACCCTGAAGCTTGTGTATGCTAGGCACGCACTCTACCACTGAGCTATACTCTCCCCCCAAAATAAAACTAAATATTAAGGAGGACTTTCCACATTTGTGGCCTGGATCTCAGGATGCCTTCTTGCTTCATGCAAATGTTCTTTTCTGTGCTGGAGCAGAATACATTCTGAAAGCATGACTTGAATAATGGTGCTTCCCCCAGTGAATACATTCATTTAAAGCAAAAAGTCACAGCTCACATTTTATAGCTTCAACTACTTCTCCATAAAACAAGACCTTCAGCATCGTGCCCCTGAGATGAGGCTTACTTACCCATCTTAACTCTACTCTGATATCTGTTGCCTCCACTTTGTGCTTTCTGTCCCTTTCAGGTCCCTGTGCTGCTGGAGTTGTGGGGATCAAGATGCCTCGTTATTGCCTGTTTGGAGATACAGTCAACACGGCCTCTAGGATGGAATCCACTGGCCTCCGTAAGAAGGGAGATTGCTTTTCTTAGAGGACAAAGATTTTGTCCTCCAGCACAGGGGATTGTGGGATAAAATGCGTAATAAGTACCAGTGAGATGCAGAATGACTCTTCCCATCGACTGGCCGTGGGCCTTTGTCAATCCAGTCCTTGCTACATATTGCCATTGACTGATAATTATTCTGTTCTTCCTTTTTGGCTCAGTTTTAGACTGTTCTCATTAGTTTTGGTCATTTGCAAGGCATTCAGGCACGATCTACCTGAAATAGTCATGACATTTCGCGTAGATCCATGTCAGTTAAACAAATCTTCCATGGGTTAGATACAGAGCATATCCTCTGGTCCATTTTCCTTTTCCTCTTTTATTTGGTTTTCCTGGGAATTGGTTTTAGTAAAGAAAAAGGTAAGCATCTGTTATATGCAAACGCCTATAGCACATTTTGCCTGGTAAGGGAGAGGCTCTGTGTGCTCCACGTAGTAAACGCTCAATAAATGCTGATGACTGTGGTAGTGTTTGATATACACACGAGAGAGAAAGAAAGATGTATGTGGGGGGGGGTTCCAAAACACAGGTGGTAGTATGGTGTTTTGTCAGTCTGCTGACAACTGGATACTGGTCTGTACTAGAAAATCACAGTGTAAAGAAGAGTAAGGTTGGGGCCAAACCGACTTGGGTTAAAATCGCAACTATACAAATGCCTGCGTGTAGGCTCGGGGGGAAGTTAGCTCATCTTTCTAAGCGTCAGAAAGTTGAAGATATAAATTGAGGATGAGATGCCAACCTTGCCGGAAGGGTTTCTGGAAGGAGTTGAGGTGGTGCACATTAAGCACTTAGCACTCCCCTGATCCGTGGTAGGCACATGACACGGGGCTGCCATTAGTGTTGTTATGGTCTGTGGTACCCAGAGTGGGAAAGGTGGTGGAGCCATGAACCTGTGGATGACACTGCCCTCACCGCTTGTTTTTGGAGGGATAGCAGTACCCTGGAAGAGTAAAATACGAGAAAATCAAGACTCTATAACCCTCTCCTGCATCTTTACCTGGCCGCCCACACTTAAGCTACTTTTAGAAATTTTTACACTGAGACCCAAAACCGAGTTTTGACTCTCAAGATCAGCACAGTAGCTAAATCCAAACCTGGGCCCATGGGCTCCCACTCTGAGCTGGGATGAGAATCTGTGGGGCATGACCAGGGGGCTCCATCACTCAGGACACTCAGGACAGCACCAGACCCTCTCTCTTTCCATGTGTGACAATAGTTCTTGTCTCACCGATGGTATTTTTAAGTTTTTTTTTTTAAACTACAATACCTGAGCTGTCAAGAGCACCTGTAATAAATGTTCCGGATCAAGGGGAAACAACTGGGGCCCTACAATAGCTTTCAAGACGGACGAGATTTCCATTTATTATGCATTTATTTTGCATTTCCAGCCTTGAGAATTCACGTGAGCAGCTCCACGATGGCCATCCTGAAGAGAACTGAGTGCCAGTTCCTGTATGAAGTGAGAGGAGAAACATACTTGAAGGTGAGTCCACGGAGACAGAACTCAGAAAAAGCTGTCACCGACCCCCGGAGACACCTCCTTTGAGACGACATCCAATGGTCAGTCATGCTAAAGAGCGTGAAAATGCAGAATCCTCTTCTGTTCTCCCTGCAGTGATCACCCACCATCCCCTGCAGGAGACGCCACCACTGAAGACTATCAGCTCAGAACTTTCCTTTCCTCCAAAGACCCCCTTTTGATATTTTGAGCTATGGCCCCTATGTTATAAAATGCTATCACAATTTCTTCTGCCTGTATTCAAGTTTGTCCCCAGTTCCTCCACTCCCAGGAGCTACAGTCTGGTGCAGGACTTAAATCAAAGCCCTTAACTCCCCACTTACATCCTTGCTCTCACTGCAAGACACTGCTGTTCTCTGAGGCCACCTCTCTCCTCTTGCTGCTCTGTTCCGAGGCTCTGGACCAGTGAAGCTCAGGGTGTGGCCCCCAATTCTGACTTACCAACATCTAGGCACCTGTTAAATTGCAGGTGCCCGCCTCTCCACCAGGCCTGCTGAGCCGGACTCTTGGGTGTAGCTCAGGAATCTGTACTCTAAACGCAGATTCTAAGTGGCTGTGATGCTCAGGGAGGTGTGAGAATCCCTGCTCCAGACACACAATTAGAGCAGCTGCCTGCCAGAGCCACCAGATGTCTCCAGGCGGCCCTCGGGCTGCTTTATGAAGCCAATCACAGTTGGTCTGAAGCCAGCTACCCACTGTGACACTTCTCTGCACCAGCCATGGTGCTCCTGGCCTTTACACCCTGGTTGCAACCTGGAAAAGCCTCCTCCTATGCAGTTGTGTCCAAATGTCACACTCGCCTTTTTAATTCTCCATAAAAATTTTCTGCTGTGTTCCCTCCAAAATAGAAGCGGTCGATGGATTATTACAGCTCAAACACAGCGCCAAACCACTATTTTTTTAAATGAGTGATTTTTACATATGTAACCTTCCAGTCTCCTTTTCAAATACAAGCTCTAGCAGAAACAGAATTTCTCGTGTTTCCATTTATTTTATAGCTTCCAGGTGGACCTAGCAAATGTCACTTAGTGAGTATTTATTGCACATGTGATGCACATGTGTTTATAATTTACACACTTAAGGTAGGGAAACTGGCAAAAGTTTTGTGGCAAAGTGGGAGTAGAGTAAAATGTGGACCAGAGAAACCAGTTGAACTTGTTGGCATAGCAGGATTGTAGAGGAATCTTCTTCCTTCTTCACTTAGAGTTATTGTGCTGTTGCTATGGTGATATTTTGAAATGTCTTTTGGGAAAAAAAAATCCTACTTTGAAAAAAATATATATCTGGTGAATGAGAGACTTATCTTTAAAAGGCACTTGAAATAAAGATGGGTCTAGAGATGATGGAAGTCATATGAGGAAGAGGCGGTGTACCTCAAAGTAAGCACCGATGAGAAACTCCGATAGAGGTGCCGTGTCTCTTGGAAACAGAAACTTGTCGAACGCTGGGCTAGAACGGACTGTCTCGCTGGCCTCCATGGTTCACGCCTTTTTTGTCTCACTAGGGAAGGGGAACCGAGACCACCTACTGGCTGACCGGCGTGAAGGACCAGGAGTACAACCTGCCAACCCCTCCTACAGTGTAAGCTGCTGGCCGGGGCGCGGAGGGGCGGGGGCCTGGGCATCTTGGCTTCGGAAGTCGCGCTGCATGCAGGCAGTTTAACCATTAGCACGTGCTTTGCCAGTGACAGTGATGTGCTGAATACAAGGCAGGAGACTACACACATGAAAAGGCTTTGGGACCTCCCTTCCCAGGCTGCTGGAAACTGGCTGTTTCGGGCTTGCTTAGGAGAGCAGAGGCCAGTTTAGGGCTCGCCTCCTGCACGTCTGGTTGTGACAGGAGTAGAGCATGCTGGGGGCAAGAGGCACTCCCCATGTCCACCCCTGCCTGCAGTGCTCTGCTGAGCCACTTCATGAAAACAGGAACTCCCTCAGCTCCAGGACTACGGTTCTGGGTCTTCACATGGAGTTTGTGTTCTCCCTGAGATGAGGAAGACAGGTTTCAGATCGCAGTAACCAGTTTCAGTTCCCCTAAAGGTGACTCAAATGGTTGTCCAGTTGTACCTTGGCTACTGCAGTCAGTCATGTGGCTGTTGGTGTGGCGTTTGCTATGGGAGAGAAACCCTGCCTTATGGACACCTCGAAGCTGGACCCAGACAGATGGCAAGACAGTAGAGACGCCAAAATAACCCAGATCCTGGGGCACAGGAGACCTGCCCCCTAACTAAGAGTATCCCAGGTCCATTCTAAATTCTTCATATCCTCCATCCATTCTGAGTCCTCCCCACACGAGACTCATACTGCTCAGGTGTGAGGCCAGCAAGTTTTCAGGGTTTTCTGGCAGGAGCCTGGCATCCTCCTGTCTCCTCTTCCCCTCCCTGCAGTGGTACGTGTCAACCTAACTGCTCCTCTGAGTTCTAACTGCGTGTTGTTTTGCTTTGAAATGGAAATACAGTTTCCTGCTTGAAATACATCCTGCTTTTCCTACAACCACCCAGAGCAGGGATGACAGTTCTTTAAGTGCATCAGAGGCAAGGATCATTCTGTGTTCTCTGGGCTTCCTATGTTCAGCACAGAGTGTTCAACAAGGATTTGGTGAGCTGAACTGATGGTTCTGGAGCTAAGGGATATTCTGTGGGAACTGCTGAGAAGTTCCGCTTTCCCTCCCCACTCTCTCCAGGGAGAATCAGCAGCGCTTGCAAGCTGAGTTTGCGGACATGATCGCCAGCTCTTTGCAGAAGAGACAGGCCTTGGGGATAAGGAACCGAAAGCCAACCCGGGTGGCCAGCTACAAGAAAGGCACCCTGGAATACTTGCAGCTGAACACGACAGAGAAGGAGAGCACCCACTTTTAAACCTCGGTGAGGCCTGAGGACGCAGGAAAATTAACTCCAGCCGCCCATGGGCAGTGAGCTCAATGCCCCGAAGCCTGCGTTTCCCTGAGACCTCAGCGGAACAGAAGAAGACTCAGATGCAACCTCCTGAGCCTCGGCTACCCCAGCTGGACCGTAGACTTGCTCCTGTGAATCCGATGTGCGCTCTCAGTGCAGTCATGACCTTTCACTCTGGAGCCAGTTGCTCCAGGGAGCTTCAGCCTGGGAAGGAAGAGGAGTGAATGTACTATCTCAAAGCTGAGGAGATTTCATTCTTATTTCACTTATTTTGTTTTTGTTTTGTTTTGTTTGCTGACTCTTTTTCCTTCTGTATTCACGATAAGATTTTTTTTAATTGTCATAATTATATTTTCAGTACTTTATCTCCATTAAATTATATTTAACTCATAATTTTTGTGGAAAATGTGCTGTATATGAGGCAGGAATAAAAGTTCAAAGTTTACCGGGTTGATAGCTGCATTTCCACCTGTTCTGCCCATTTTCCTGGGATGCATCAGCCATCATCGGGTGCTCGCTGAGAAACTGACTAAATCCCCCTGCACTGGAGCAGGGCAAAGCTAGCATCATTGCTCAGGGGTATGGACTTTGATGTTCAGCATCACTTGTGTGCGTGTGGGGATTTTGTGTCTAGGCCTCCAAACATAGGAGCCATCTCGGGTCTGCGATAAATTCCAGTCCTGTCTACCTGTAAAGACACAGTACTTCACACTCTGCAAATATCCCCCTCTCACATCCAGCAGCTGTCTCCTGCCCCTGCTAAGGGCACCCTGGCATGACTCATTTGTTTGAAATCTCTGGGGAAATGCCAAAAATCAAGTTGAGGAGACTAGTATCAGAAGGGCAAGAACATGCGTGTAGCACCCTGGCTCCAACCTTCAAAAACTAAAAAACTGCCCCAACCACATTACTTCATTCTAGACCTCTACCGCGAGCACTCCAGAGATTAAGAAACAGGTTATGTCTTCTCCATCACTTGGAAAAGCAGACAATTGAAAAGTAATAAATTATCTCCTGATTTATAGGTTGAACACTTCATGGGCAGCAAGAGTTCTTATTTGGAATCTGGAAGTTTCTAATCTGTCTGTGCCCCTGTGTCCAGCACATGGAGACTCGACGCATGAGATGAGGTTGTGACGTGGAAGTTCACGGTCATTCGTTCAGTAAACACATATTAAGCTTCTCTGATTCCAGGAACTGGGCTCAGGTTTCATGGTATAGCCACACAGCCTCTGCCGAGCTTTGAATCTTATAGGAGAGAGAGAAATGTAAAGAGATTAGTGGGTATGGGGACCAAGCAGCATTCTTGACAACAGGCAAACTTAGCAACTCTAAGACTGACCACAAAATCATTTTTAATGCTAAATAGGGCATTGATGTCAGTTGAAGATTCCAGTGTTTGTGTTCTATTACAGAGTCTGCGTGGTTGCAAAACACGTCTTGACCTTTAAACAGATGTGTGGCCTCGGCTTGTCCACTTAACAATGTGGATATGTAGTACCAGTGATGGCAGCAACTAAGAAGGTACCGGCCAAATTCCTGCACTGCTCTTTTTTTAGCTGTAATTTAATTAATGTGTCTAAGCCCCTAGTGTTTTATTAGTATACCATTAATCATAATATCCACTTCAAGGAGTTGTTACAATGATTTTTTTAATGAAATTTATCAAGTCTAGCACAGTGGCAGTCATATAGTAGGTTTTCAACAAATAACCTCTACCTTCAATGTACATCCCCTCTGTCTCTACTTGCTTAATTAACCAGAATTTCAAAAATTTCAAATTCAGGGCTTCCTTGTACACTAAGCATACGTCAGATTTTTTTTTCAAACAATTGATTATAGAATGTTTCAAGTGTACACAACAGATAGAATAGCTAATGAATTTCCAGAGTAATCATCAGTTTCAAGAATTATCAATATTTTCCCAATCTTTTTTCATCTTTCACCAACTTTGTTTGTTTTTCCAGATTATTTGAAAAGAAATACCAGATATCATATGTTTCACCTGTAAATATCCCAATACATCTTTTTTTTTTTAATATTGGACATTGAACCCAGGACCTCATACATGCTAAGCACACACTCTACCACTGAGCTATTACCCTCTCCCCACTCAATACATCTTTTAAACACAGGATTGACAAACTGTTTCTGTAAAGGGCCAGACACTAAATAGTTTAAGCCTCACAGGCCACACTCATCTCTGCTGTTGTAGCTTGAGAGCCACCATGGACAATACACAAGGAAGTGGGCAGAATGTGCTCCAATGAATGCTTATTCTTATTTTTGGCTACAGTTTGCTTCCCCACACACTAGCAGATAAAGATTTTTTAAAACCTAACTGAAATACAATTATCATATCAAAAGAAATGAATATAACAAAATAGAAACAGACTCACACATACAGAGAACAAACTAGTGGTTACCAGTGGCTGGGAGGGTACCCAAGATACAGGAAGGGGATTAAGAGGTATAAACCACCTGGCAGAAAATAAATAAGACCTAAGACACAAGGATGTAATGTACAGCACAGGGAATATAGCCAATATTTTATCATAACTTTAAGTGGAATGTAGTCTATAAAAGTATTGAATCACTGTGTTGTACACCTGGAACTAATATAGTATTGTAAATCAACTATACTTTAATATTTTAAAAAATACACAAAACCGCAGAAACAAACCAAAAACTTGTTCAAGAGACACACATCACTAGTCACTACTAATTTGGACAGCATGAACTTAGAATGCCAGCAACTGGGGAACATTCTTTTTCGGGGAAAAGAAAGAAAATTATAAATCTAGTGAGAGAGAAGGAGAATCTATTCACACTCTCAAGAGACAATCAGATCCAGATAGGATATAGATGTTGAAATTAATGGGGATACTAGGCAACTATAATTAACATGTCAAAAGCCGTGAAGGAAAACATGGACAACATGAATGTTCAGATGGGCAATTAAGCATGGAGTTGGAAACAATGGGAAATAATTAAATGGAAATACTACGATAAGAAGTGTATTGACAGAGATGACGAAGGCTTTTAGTGGCTGATCACTAGACTACACAGCTGATGACAGAACCAATTTACCTGATGTACTCAAGAAAGTATACAAAGTAAAGAGAAAAAGAAGTAAATAAGATAAAACAGAGCTGCTAAGAACTGTGGGACAGTATCAAATGGCCTCATGTATGTAAATAGAATTCCAGAAGACAGAGAGAGCAATGCAAAAGAACTATTTAAAAAAATAATGGCTGAGAATTGACCAAATGTAATGACAGACACCAAGTCGCATATCCAAGAATCTCAGAGAACACCAAGCAGGATAAATAGACAAGACCACATTTATATTCTCATGGCTGAAAAATGACAGAAACCGAGAGACAGAGACAGGAAGGGAGGAGGGGAAGAAAGGAAGGAAGGAAGGAAGGAGAAACGGAAAAAAAGAAAGAAAAAAAATAAAAAGGCCACAGGGTGAGGATGAGAAGTGGTAAGAACACTGCATACAGAGGAACAAAGATGAAAACTCACAGCCAGCTTCTCTTCTGAAATTATGTAGACTAAAAGACAAAGGAATGACATCTTTAAAGAACTGAAGGGAAAAAAGAATTCTATACCCAGCAAAAATAATAATAATAATAATAATAATAATAATAATAATAATAATAAATTTCAAAAGTGATGAAAAAAGTACTTTCTCAAAAAAAAAGTGAAAAATTATTGCCAGTTGATCTAATCTGCAATAAATGTTAAAGGAAGTTTTTCAGACAGAATGAATATGATACCAGATAATCTTGGATCTTCACAAAGAAATGAGGAATACTGGACATGTAATGTATAAAAGTAAAATGAAATGTTTTCCTATTTTTAGTTGTTTTATAATTACTCTTGTGTTTATCTTCTTGTTTTCAGTTTCCCGTTGGATAGCACAGGTTTAGAAAATTGCAGCTTGTTTTCAATTTGCTTTTTGACATTTCACTAGAAGAGGTATATAAATGCAGAAAGCGCATGTGAAAAGATGCTCAGCGTCATTAGCCAACAGTAAAATGTAATCAAAGCCACAATGAGATAACACTATGCACTAAATAAAATGGCTAAAATTAGAAATTTGACAGTATCAAGTATGACGAAGATGCAGAGGAAATGGAATTCTCACACATTTTTGCTAGGAATGTGAAATGGTACAGGAACTTTAGTAAATAGCTTGGCAGGTTTTTTAAATAAAGTTAAACGTACATTTTCTGTAGGATCCAACAACCCTATTCCTGTGTACCTATACAAATGAAATGAAAATTATGTTCACATAAATATGTTTATTTCAGCTTTATTCATAAGTAGGAAAACTGGAAACAACAGATTTTTTTTTCCAGTGGGTGGATTGATAAAGGAACCATGGGGAACCTGTACAATGGAATACTATTCAGCAACAAAAGCGTGATGAACTACTGTTTCACATGACAACATGGATGAATCCCAAATGCAGTTTTCTAAGTGAAAGAAGTCAGATCCAAAAGACTACATATTATATGACTTCTCTTATATGATATTTTGGCAAAAGGAAAATTATAGGGCTAGAAACCGGACTGGTGGTTGCCAGTTTTATGGAGGAAGGATTTGACTACAAAGGGTAAAATAAATGAATTTGGGGGAGGAGGTGATGTAACTGTCCTGTACTTACTGTGCTGGTAAATACATGACTCTACGCATTTGTCAAGACCCTGGAACGAACACAAAGAAAAGCTTACTGTAAGCAATTTTTTAAAAAGCAACCAGATGTGGATGAAACCACAGATGGAATGTAGGCAGTGAACCTAACTGTATTACACAGAATGGCATAACCTCACTAGAGAGTGTGGGAAGAAAGGAGCTGACATAAGTAACTTTGGAAAAGAGTATTTTGAGGGGATTATCGTAAGGCTAAAAACAAAAGAATTGTACAAGGCTTTGTAGTCTAATTGATGAATTTGTTTCTCCAAAGAATCTGGGTTAGAAATTCTGAAACAGTAATAAGACATGTTAACATCTTTTCTAGCACCTTTAAATAATTGCAATTTGACACCGTGTAGATTATTCCATCAGATTGTTTAACACATTAACCTAACCCCAAGGTAGGTAGAGCTCACAGCAGAGAAACCAGTGATACGGTCTGAAAGAATAATCATTGTGGTTTATGAAAGGACAGATGTTTTGTAAGAGTGGGAATTGCACAAGAACCTTCTGCAACTTCTAAAGAGATCCTAGATAATTCAGTCATCTATTCAGCTCAGAAACAAAAATTATATAGTGCAGCATTCCTCACTCTGTGATTCTGTGATTAAGGATCTTTTTTTTTATTTCAAATTAATCTCAGAATGATACTTTTATAAAACACAGGAGCACACACTTGGATGCTGTGGCAATGTTCAGCTGCCATTGCAGACTGGGACCGGTCTGCAAAGCCCCCAAGTGCTGGTAGAGAGGACCACACATTCAGACATGTAAGTTTTTAGTGTCAGCTTTGCCACAAGCTCAACCAAGGGCCTTTGAGCCAGTTGCTTAACACAGGGTTACTGCAAGGACCAAAGGAGTTTTAATAGATGAAAGCTTTGTAAAGGAGTGGAGAAATGGATTCCTATTAGCTATTATTCTTAACCTCTCTGGACCTCAGTTTCAATCTGACTCAAAGAAAGTTGAATGAGGTGATCTTTAGAGTACTTTACACTTTAATGATACTGTGTATTGATGCATTTGTCTAAGTAAAGCAAGAAGGTGAACGGTTTGTTGATACAGTGTAGTTCCAAGAGGTTTCTAAGGAACTGGGCACAGAGCAGATAGTGCCTTTCCCATCCTGTCTCCTCACCCGTGGCTCCTCTCCCTGGCCTGCGGTGACTGATAAGAACACATCAGAACAAAGGCTGCTCTTGGACGCTTACAGGCTCCACTTGGAAGAGAAAGTGACTTAAGGCAAACTGGATTTGAGATTTGTCAGGAGCTCAGCGAGGCTGGGAGAAAGATCTGAGCCACCCATCGTCAGCAGAGCTGTTTGAAGCAAGAAGGCAAAAATGAGAGTAAGCCTCTAATCCCTTACTGTGATGGTATAAGCGCAGTCTGAAACCAGAGGAAACACCGCCTCCCCCTGTTCCAATTCCCCCCGCAGAACAGCACACCTGTTGCAGGTCAGGTGGATCAGCACAGATGGCATCATCTTGCTGTTGAGGGGACCTCAGACAGAAGGCTCTGGCGGTCTTGTGGACTCTTGGGGTTGAGAAAGGGGAAGGGAGCAGGGCTAGGAGTGAGAAGGTACTGGGTCCTAAGTCAGAATAGGGTAAGTGTCTTCAAGTTTTCCTCTTCCTCCTCCTGATAAGGAGGTCTCTGCAGAAACACCTGGAGGGGATCTCTGGCCAAGGCTTCAGATAAAGAGACCTAGAAATGAAGGCACACAGGCTAGGAATGCAAACGTGTGGAGATCATCACTGGCCAGAGGACCTGCACCCTCAACTTCACCTGCCTCCAGCGACGGCAATCCTCAGGCTGTGCACCAAGCCCCGCGTGGGGAGGGCTGCTTTCCCTCCGAGGCCTGCCAGGTAGAGCCTTTGCCAGTGATCAGACGTGGAAAAAAGCACACATAGGTTTTTAACCAGGAGACTCCCTCCTCAGTATTAAGGGTCAGAACACAGAAACAATAAAGTAGAAAGGCCTGCTCTGCTCTTGCCACATTGCTGCCTCCTAGGATTTCCAGTGCATCCCTCTAGTGACAGTTTCCTAGGAGAAGAGTCCAGACCAGTAGGTCAACTAAAGTGAAGAAGAAATGTGCCTTCCTGTAGTAACTAGGAGAGGCCACCAAAACTATGAGCTGGAGTTTACCTATATCTTGGAAAAAGTGATGCAGTTCTTCTGTTAAAAAAAAAAAAAGAACAGTAATGAGAGGGAGGGTATAGCTGAGTGGTAAAGTGCATGCTTAGCACGCATGAGGTCCTGGGTTCAATTGCCAGTACCTCTGTTTAAATAAATAAACAAATAAATAAACCTAATTCCCTCTCCCCTAAACAAAACAAACAAGCAAAAAAAAGTAAAAATTTTTGAAAAACAAATTGTGGTGTGCATAGACAATGGAATACTACTCAGCCATAAAAAAGAATGAAATAATACCATTTGCAACAACATGGATGGACCTGGAGATTGTCATACTAAGTGAAGTAAGCCAGAAAGAGAAAGAAAAATGCCATATGATATCACTTATATGTGGAATCTGAAAAAATAAAAATTAGGGGAGGGTATAGCTCAGTGGGAGAGTGTGTGCTTAACATGCACAAGGTCCTAGGTTCAGTCCCCAAGATCTTCATTAAAAAAAACCTCTCACCAACAAAAAAATTTTAAAAAAAATAAAATAAACAAAAAAATTAAAATAAATTTAAAAACAGTAATGGGGGGGGGAACAGAAGTTAACATGCTAGTTTTTTCTCCCTTAGCACCAAATACGTGGTATCTTTTCCAACACCAGCAGCCAATTCTCTGACACCAGACACAAGCTGAGTGACCAACAGTTCGATTCTATTCTGACATTAGCTACTAACCTATTCCACAGGTTAAGGGTTCAGTCTCACAAGGCTGCCTCCACTGCAGGCACCTGTCACCAGTTCCAGAGGACCAGCCATATGTCTGACCAAATGACTATAATCCAGAGGGTCCCATGACCCTCTCTTCATGGTCGATAATTTGCTAGGACAATTCACAGAACTCGAGAAAACACTCCTTCTGTTTACTAGTTTATTACTGTTAAAAAGAAACAACAGACCTGAAATGGTTACCCGTGTGCTAAGCCCATGACCCAACTGAGACTTGACACCTAACCTAATTATACTCCGAACCCCTCAGGAACATTTATGCAGTCAACCTGGAATTACCTGAGATAATCCAGCCTATAGGCTCTCCTGTTTCCTTTAGGAGGGTGACCTTGCCTGAAATAATGCATTCGTTGCTAATGATTTCCCTTCTCTGCCCCCTTTCTGCCTTTAAAACTCTTTCCTTTTGTGCCCCTTAGCAGGAATTCTTTCTGTTTGTTAGATGGGATACTGCCTGATTCATTAATTGTTTAGTAAAGTCAATTTGATCCTTGAATTTACTCAGCTGAATTTTTGTTATTAACAGTGTGTTGGCAGCAGCAGGACTGAGGGAGACTTCCAGAGGCTTCGAAGACAACAAGAGACACGGGTCTGGTACCTGGTGTGTTCACTGTCTTTGTCTCCGTTTCTGTTTCCGAGGGCCATGGGTAAGTTCCCTCTTGATTGTCAGCTCTTCTGTCTTTGCATTGAGCTCCTGATCTAATTGGCTTTCCAGAGTTACTTATTTGGTTGGAAACTCCAGCCCTTGGTTCCGTCCCCAAATTCCCAGATTACATATCGGTATTTATTGGCAAGAGTCGGGCTGGGTCTGGCTTAAAAACTGAACTAGGTATGGAATCAGACTGGGTCTGGTTTAAACTGGACTGGGGTCTGTATGAGGC